GGGGATTGAGCCGAGGGCCTTGCCCCTGTGATGTGAGCGCTCTACCACTGAATGCAGCCACGTTCCTGAATGCAGATTTTGGCCACTTTCTTTAAATGTTCAGGTGGCATTATGAAGTCTGCATGTGCTTTTTTGGAAACAGGGTGTACAGTTTTGTCCTTTGCATGGAAGCTTATTGAAGAGCCAAGTCCTGCTTGCCATTTTGAGCCAGCATCTGCAATTGGGTGAAGGCACATTAGCATATAAAGACTTGACATTCGCAGATGGACTCAGCCAGGTCTAACTTTGTTTTTGAGACAATGTCTGGCTATGTAGCTCAGGCTGGCCTCTAACTCATAGCATGATCCTCCTGCCTCAGCCTCCCCAGTGCTGGGATGATAGGCATGTGCCACCATGCCCAACTACTGTTTTATCCTTTTCTGTTCGTATGCTTTGTTTTCTCTCTCATGATATCTACTTCCCCATGGAAGATCCCAAAAGAACTCCTCTCTGCCATGTCTCTGCTTCTCTCTTACCTCCAGCCCCCCTGCCCCCATGACCTAGTTCTCTCATGTCTCAGCCAGACCTTGAGTTATATAAAGATTGACCACCTGTGGCCAGCTGCTTCCCCACCGTTATGGTGGCAGCCCGGTGGTGGTGTCGGTCATGGGGAAGTCAGGTGACTCTCCTGGGGACTGATCTTCCAGAGGTGACTGTGTGTGTGTATGTTGGGGGTGGTGTGTGTGACAGCACTCAACCTGGCAGTGGAAAAATATTTTAGTTCATCAGCAGTATTGCCAGATCTGCAACCGGGACGTATGATATAATACTTTTGTGCTCCTGCCAGGCATGACAGCGCATCTGGGAGCGCTAGTGTGAAAGCCAAAACATTATAGATCTCAGGATATGTTTAGAGTTGGTGGGTATATCCACTTTTTTTTTTTTTTTTTTTTTTTTTTTTTGTGGTACTGGAGATTGAACTCAAGACCCTGCACTTGCCAGGCAAGCGCTTATTCTACTGAGCCAGCCCCTGTACATCCACTTTTAATTTAACAAATGTTTACCCACTGTCTTCCTGAAAAGAACACTGAAAAAGGTCTGATAAAAATTCCTGGAAAATTGGGGACAAAGCCTACCATAATTTCATCTCCCTCTTTAGGAATTCCAACATTTATTTCATAGTCCTCTTTTCTATTATTCTGAAACTTTTCAGATCTACAGAAAACTAAAAAGTACAATGACATATTGACCAGTTGGTAGTATTTTGCTTCAGTTTTCCCTGTTGCACCATTTGAAAATGGGTTACATAAATTATAGACATCTAGAAACTTTGCCCCTGAACAGTGAAGCACGCGTATCTTAGGCCTGAGGGCTCTTCCTCATGTAACCACAAACCACTATCAGACTTTTAGCAGTAATCTGGTGATGCCATCCGTGCATCAGACCATCTGCAAACACATCATTTAGTACATATTTACACTTCCCCAACAGTCAACAATTTCTTTCAGAAGACTGGGCATGGTGGCGTGTGCCTGTAATCCCAGTGCTTGGGAGGCTGCCCTGAGTCCAATCTGTGCAGCGAGACCCTATAGACCCTGTATGAAATACATAATTTTTTTTTCTATCAGAGATTTTTTTTTTAGATAGAATCTCAATGTGTAGTTCACATTGGCCTTCTTCAATTGTTCAGCAATGTTCCTGCCTCAGCCCCCCACAGTGCTGGGATTACAAGTATGTGCCACCATTCCTGGTTCTTTTGTTTTTCAATATTTTGACTCTTTTGAAAAAGCCAAGTCAGTTGTCACCAGTTGACTTGTAGGATATCATTCTTTCTGGGTCTGTTGGATCATGACTGGACCTGGAGCATGTACTTTGGGTGAGAGGACTGCTGGGACACTCATCTGTGTTTCCAGTGTACCACACTTAGAGACTCAGAACATCAGGTGGCTTCTCCATGGAGATGCTAAGCTTGGACATTGAGTGAAGGCTGGAGTAACCCTTTTTTTTTTTGCTAAGAATCAGAGGGACAGCTGGGCATAGTGGTGCACCCCTATAATCCCAGCCCTCGGAAAGCTGAGGCAGGACGCTCATTGCGAGTTTGAGATGAGCTTAAGCTGCAAAGTAAGCTCAAAACCAGCCTGAACTACATACTGAGACCCTGTCTCAAAAAAACAAAAACAAAACAAAAAATCAGAGGGACCAAAGTCACTTGCCTAGGGGCTTTTGAATGCTTCTTGGTAACAGGAATTATTTGCAGCAGACCAGGGTTTTGTTCTTAATTCTCTGTCCTTCTCTTTCTCCCAAGATCCTAGGTGGGACCTGATCCTTAAAAGATGGCTGACTTGTGGGGATTCCTATCTAATCTAGCATCACCACTGTGTGGCTTATTTATGAATGTCACTGCCTTCTGAACACCCTTATTCTGCAGGTTCCCTGCCCAGACCAATCTGTCAATAGTATCTCTCACACAAAGCACCCTCTAGCCACACCTCTTGCCACTACACATCTTTCTTTACGTACAGCCTTTTCAGCTTATCTGATTGTTTTGAGGCAAAATTCTCAATGTGGTAATAATATCTATGCAACACTTGCTAACAGCTCCCTTAGCTAAGAGCTTCCTGTGTCCCCAGAGCTGCTCTAGTAGCAGGTGGAACGGTGGGGAGGAAGGGAAACCTCTGTCCTCTGTCCCTGGAAAAGGCTCTGGTGTCCAAGCTGTCTATCTTGGACTCTTCCCAGCACCTTTTCATGTACTGCTGAATTCAAGGCCATTCTCGATTACATTGGTGGAAAATCACCCAGATTGCTTAAAAAGGACATTTCATGCAGAAAACTGGTAGCATGTGGAAGGAGAGCCAAGAAGGCAAACAGATAAGAGGGAGATGGCTCAGTGGAATAAGCGCTTCCCTGGCAAGCAGAAGGGCCTGAGTTCAATCACCGATTCTGCAAAAAAAAAAAAAAAAAAAAAGGAGAATTAGCAAGAGAAGTAGCAACTTCCCTAGGATGGCAGGAACAGAGGGGTGCAGGGTGTAGGGGTCTCCGGGAGAAGCCGCAGGATGATGCCTCTGTCCAATCTGGGTGCTCTGCTCCCCCGAGGACTCCACTGACCAGATGTGCTGTAGGCTGGCTGACCTGGCTGGGAACCACAGCGCTCAGAAGCCAGCCCTGCCACCAAGAGAAGAGCAGAATGAGGACAAACAGCTCTCAGCCCGCACAGTCATCTGTCCCTAGGACTTGTCCTGTGCTCCTGAATCATCAGTGTGAAATTTTTAACTCAACCTTCCTGTTTATCTTTCACACGTTTAATTAGTACCATGATATAGTCATCCTTCCGGGCAAATTATTCACTCTTTTTCCTTGCTTTGTGTAGCTGTTGTCTTATCTTGAAGAAGCTCATAAGAACAACCACCTCCGTAGCTCATTGGTGTCTGGAACTCAAAAATAATAATTATGTTATTAACTGCATGTACAGTTAATGAAGCACTTTCACATACATTATACTATGTGGTTCTCAAAAAGCTCTGTGAATAGTTATTATTAAGTTACTATTATTCCTGATTTATTGAGGGCTTGTCTGAGTCTTAGAGACTATATAAATCACTTAAGTATAAACAAGAAGTAATGGAACAAGAATTCAACCCCTGGGCTGTTGGTTTTCAAAGTCCATAATCTTCCCACCATCGTCTGCTGCTTCCTGCCAGAAAGACTAGCTCTGGATGTGGCACAAGATGTCCTCCCCAGAACAGGTTGGCTACATTTAGGAGAAAGGAGGGGCTACATTTTAAATCTGCAAAATTCCTGGTGACCCACAAGTGAAAATGACACTCCTAGGTGTAAGGGAGGCCAAGGCTGTGTAGCATTCACCCGAAGTTACATTGCTCCCGAACAACCTCGCTGTTGCCCGGTACCCGTCAGGACACAGCTTCTCAGTAGAGAGGCTGGCCTGCTGCTAGAAAGGTCAGTCACAGCAGCCTGTTCTGCCCAGGCCTGGCAGGAAGGGAGGAAGTCTGCCTACAGTTCCCATCTCCTCATCTCTCCTCAGAACAACACTGGACAGCCAGTGAAATTAGAATGTCAGATAAACAATTTTCTAGCATCAGTGTGTCTCTGACATTCAAGTGGTGTCTTGGCATTTGCTAAATCTAGCAACCTTGTCTTGATCAAGGTGGGCAGTGATCCCAAGCTTCAGGATGCATGGGAGGAATCAGAGCACAGGAGCCCATTTGGCTCTGCTTTTGCCATCTGTGTTCCCAAAGGCCAGGAGGTAATAATCCCTGCGCAGGTGCAGAAGTAGAGGGAGGGCCTGGGAGGGGATTCCCAGCATGACCTGCGGAGGTCTGAATCACGGGTTCTCTCTGGGGTCTGCAGCAGTGAGCTGGCCTTAGGTGAAGGCTCAGGTTGACTCACCTGTTTTCACTTAGTTTTTCTGCTACACCAGGGAGGGCCCACATCTTACTTAAAATCAGTCCTTGAGGTGGGTGAAGGGAAAGAGGAAGCAACAGAAAGTGGTCTGGATGCATCAGCAGAGTCTCTCTAGGTAGTTCAAGCTTTTCTTAAACTCACTAGGTAGCCCAGGCTGGCCTGGAATTCTCAATAGTCCTCCTGCCTCAGCCTCTTGAGTGCTGGGATTGGAGCATATATCACCACAGCCAGCTTCAAAGCACATACTGCTTGAGTTTTTGAAGTGTATCAGGCAGAGTTGAACTGGAGGGAGGAAAACTTCAGCAGAATTACAAAGCAAGGGACACTCCAGGTATCCTAAGACCTGTTTCAGTCCTTTGTGGAGTTTCAGAATTCAGTCACCTGTCCATCAAATGGTAGAGACAAAATGAAAATGAGTTCCTGTCAATGGTTTCATTGAAAGTGTTGGTTAACATGAGTGATTTGAATAATCTGTGGGTTTCTACCTCCGTTAGCTATGGGCCCCTAAAACCAGACATAACTGAGAACTGGCTCCTACCCAATGCAAAGCAGCCTTCAGAGATGTCCTGTCTTACTTGCTTTTTTCCTGCCTTTGTCCACAGTGTTGCACTTGAGATGGAGCTGCTGCCCCTGTGGCTTTGCCTGGGTTTTCACTTCTCAGCCCTGCAATGGAGGAATGGAAGTGGGGTGGCCACCGCGGCTTCCCAAGGGGGCTGCCAATTGGTGAGTCTCTCCCCAAACCCTAACTTCCTTTTTGTTCCTATCCCAACAAGGTTTGGTCTGCTTGGAAAGCCAATAGATTGTCAATGAAGGAGAACAGGAAGTGAATAGTCTGATGCACGATGTACGTGCCTTGCCCAATGCCATGTGCAGCTGCTTTTTAACCAAGGGTCCTCCAGATGATGCCTAGGAAAAGACTAAGGCAAGCCCTGCCTCTCTTTTCTCATACCTGCTGAAAGCAGGAGGCCCCAGAGACAGCCTACGTCATCCATCTGCACAAGAACATCTTGTTAGATGGGCGTATAATCCTAGCACTCAGGAGGCTGAGGCAGGAGAATCACTATGAGTTTGAGCCCAGCCTGGGATACATAGTGAGTTCAAGCCTGGCCTGAACTTCACGGTGAGATCCTGTCTCAAAAATATCATAGGAGAAAAAAAGAATATCTTGTTAACAGTTTGAGCTCCAAAAGACAATACCAGAACTGTCAGGCAAAACAAAGTAGAGCTTGAGCAACCCTGCCTCTGGAATGGTGTGCGAGCCAACAGCAAATGCTTAGAGAGCCCACAGCGAGCAGCTGCCCCCACTGCATGGTGGAGCAGCTCACTGACCATACTCGGGCTAAAAAGATCTAGACAGTGGGTTCCTGAGCCTTGACAGCGGCCTTCTCTGGGGCTCTCGGCTTATGTATGGGAACAGCACTGGGTCACCATTCTGCACATTTCCAGAAACTCTCTCCTTGCTTACAACCCAGTGATATCAAATGTATGCTTGAGGAGCATGCATTTAATAAATATTCCTTGAGCCTTGCTACCACCAAGGCACTGGGACACAAGCTGGGTGTCAGGGCTAATACTTACATTCAGGAACTCTTTCTTTTTGTTTGCTTTGCTTTGGAGGCTGGGGAAAGAATGTATTCTTAAAGCTGATTAATCTTAAAAAACCAACCACCATGGCTCTGAGCCACTCATAGTAACCACTAACCACCAAGCTGGAGAATGCTCCAGTACGTGGGAGTTACAACCTGACTGACCAGGTTTAAACCCCAGCCCACCATTGATGAGCTGGTGATACTGGGGCCACTTTGTGTCACCATTTCCTCATCTGTAAAATAGAAGTGATAATAATACCTATGAATAGTACCATAACACTTGGGTGTTATGGTGATTGAATGAGTTAATATATAGAAAGCACTTAGGACAGCACCTGGTCTATGGTGAGTGCTCTGTGTTTTATTTATTATTATTGTTATTATTATTATTAATCTCTGCTACCTTTGACTCCCACCATACCCTTCCAGAGGTAACAAAAGATTGACTTCACAGTAGCAGTTCAGGAGTCACCAGCCAAAGCAAGAGAAGGGAATAAACCATGAGTTCTGTGACTATCTTTCAAGGTTCAGGCTAGACTCTGATGGAGAGTTAAAAGAGTGGATTTCCTTTGGCTTTTATGCATTCAGGACTGCATTTCAGAGGCCAAGTACCCTCCATTATCCACCATTACGCCAGTCATTTGATGAGAAAGTCAACATGCTAAGGTTCTCTGGGACTCTGACACCCTCTGGTCTTCACTTTAGCGTGTCAACAGGGGATTACCAAAGTCTGACCCTTTGACCACAGAACTTGTAATAGAACAGGGTCTCCAAAGCATGAGGAAAGCCCCTGACCACAACACTTTCCAGAGAGTGCCCATGGCAGGGGCAGACCAACAGTTACTCAAAGAAATATAACATTGTCTCTGGATGGGGAGTTTGAATTTTGTAAAATAAGTTCTCCCCCAAATTAATCCATAATGGGAACACAACCCCAATCAAAATTCCAAAGACATTTTTAAGGGTAGTGGAGGTATGGGAGGAACACAACAAATTAATTCTAATGTTAGCCTGGAAAACTAAAACAACTCAAGTGCTCAATAGGGAGATTAAATTAGATCATGCTACTAACTATAGCTAACATTAAGTGTATCATGGTAATAATTACAGTTAACACTTTTAGGCATAATAAATGTTTTTCATAAGCAATTATACTCAATACTAAAAAAATGAGAAAATTACAAGCATAGTTCCACTCTGTAGGACAGGTAATGGAAACCTTCATGGTTAGGTAACCATCTCTGAGTCATGTACTTGATAAAGAGCACAGCCCAGGGGCTGGGGTGTAGCACACTGGGAGAGCACACGCTTAGCATGTGTGAGCCTCTGAGTTCAAACCACAGCACAAAATAAACAAGAAGGAGCTACCGGGTGCGGTGGCACGTGCCTGTAAACTCAGCACTTGTGAGGCAGAGGCAGCAGGGTTGCTGAGAGTTTGAGGCTAGCCTGCGGTACTTAGTAAAATCAGACTGGCCTGAACTATATAGAGAGACCCTGTCTCAAAAAAACCAAAACAGTAACAAAAA